GCTACCTCAAAAATTAAATTTTCCCTCTACCACCAACCTTCACACACACACACACATATATCTGTTGTCAAATTGCAAGGTGACTGTGTTTTGTGAGAAAGGGAAGGATTTCTTTTTGTCCTGTTAATCATGATTTCCTCTTCCTACTTTCTGTGGTTTCAGATGTATATTCTTATTTTTTAAATCCTCATCACTATTTTCTCCCTCTTGTGAAATTTTAACATACTCTCTTTACTTTTTTTATAGCAAACCCATACTTCTGTTTCTACACTAGATGCCAGTACATTAATTATCTCTTAAAATGAATCTTGAAAGTATACTGTAATGGTAACTTTCATTTAGATTTTTCTCTTTATCACTGTTGGGACAGATTCATGTATCATTTCAGAGCTAAGCACTATCCTCTAATCTTATTTGTTAATGCCAAAGGTTTATATGAAATTATCAGTGTTATTTTGGCCCACTCTACATAGAGCAAATCTATATAGCCTTTTTTTTTTTTGTGGTCAGTTCTAGTGTGCATTACATCTATACACTTAACTGAGGATCCAAGCATCTCTAGAAATCCCTGCTGTAGTACACTCCTGAGCTTACAAGAAGTCTGGGGAAAGGGAACTTCCCACAAAAATATTTTCTTGCAGATGGAAAATAGGATCACTTTCTGGTGTTGTTGTTGGGAGGCCCTTAGCATTTGGATTTGGGCCGTGTCCAACAGGACCTTCCTGATTGCAGCTTACCTTGCAGGGAAGGAGAGTCGCTCACAGATTAATCCACACGAGTGGTTCCTGGATCAGGAAGTGGTGAACCAGATCTTCCTTGTTTGGGGAGGCACCTGAGGTGGATCTCTTCGCCATGAGTCTGGAAGGTAAATTTGTTGTTACCTGTAAATTACGGTTCTGCTAGTTCATACTATGCCAATCCAGACTTCAGTTGTCCCTCCTGCCAGCAAGTGAAGACAGATGACTTGAACGAAGATGGCTGTCAAGGCCTGGGTCATTCAGTCTTCCCCATTGGAAAATACTCATTTTTGACAAAAGGGAAATATATATGTATGTATATATGTATATATTTATATTACATATATATGTGTATATATATATAAGCTGTTTGTTTTGTTATATGGAGCACATCCCACATTGTGGTGCTCTTTTTTTTTTTCCCCATTTTTCTTTTTTCCATAGAGACAAACGTATGGATTGGTTTAGGAGGGTCTAGCAGAACCACAACCTTACAGGCAAGAACAAATATCACTTTCTGCTACTTTCTCCTATACCAATCCAGACTGTAGGAACCAAAAAGTAACATCCCCATGAAAAGTGAAGACTATTTAACATTTTTAAATGGAAATATTGGCACTTTATTTACTTGAACTTAAATGAGTTGATTCATTAAAATTGATTAACTTTTCTTCTGATCAACCTATCAGTTTGGCAGATAGACAATCAGATCTATATTAGTCTTATGTGTTAGGCTCACTAGCAATACATTGACGCAAACCAAAACCTGTCTGAGAAATACAACTGGAGTATTTCTCTCTGATCCACAAAGTCAGATTTTGTTAAAAGATTTATTCTCTCCTTCCCCCACCACACCACCCACCTAAGAAAGAAGGATGTCCCTTTAATTTTTAAAATTTTAGCTACCACCCAATCTACCTTAAGTAGATTAATATTGGTAAGATCATAGAGACTGTCTTTTATATAAATACAGATCTATATAATCCATCTTCCTTTAAGTTTTCTTCTTCTTATACTTGCTGGCAATAGGGGTAGCCTCAAAGTCTAGAGTGATATAGGGAAGATAGCAGAACATGAAGAATCCAGTATTTAACATAAATTAATAAATAGGCAAAAAAAAGTGGTTGACACATTTTTCCACTACTAGAGAACTTTTTCATATCTACCCTCCAGAATCAATGATAGCTGAGATAACCTGTTTTCTCCATATATTTGGAAGCATATTTCATGCCCCCACCACTGGTAGGGAGGAGTCATAATTGATTCTTTCTTTCAGTTTGTGGACTTAACCTAGTTCTATATCCCTTGACATTTTCTTCACCTCAATCTGAAATTGCTCTTTCTCATACTTTGGCTCTTGAAAAGGTAGGGATTGAACAGATGGTGTTTCATACAAGTTGTTGGCCTGTCAGAAGAGATTTCTACCAAAGAGTGGAAGGTCATGTACAGATGTCTACTGCCTGATGTTCAAATTGGCTAGGTCCTGTATCTCTGATTCCTTTGGTTACTTATTCTTCTGGCTATGTTTTCTTATATTGATTTGCCCCAAAATATACAAATTCACTTGACCTTACTTGATTCTTTTCTTTATCATCGAGATTTTAAATTATTTCAGTATGGTTCTTATCATTTACCTTCAGAGAGACTTTCAATATTTTCTGTATTTCTAAAACTCACTTATTTAATTTAGTTAACTATTACAGTGGTGTGCAAATTAAATGGGACAAATTAAAATAATTGCATTTATTGAGATATATATGTGTGTGTGTGTGTGTGTATATATATATATATGTATATACACACACACACCAATAAGCCTTACAACTGTTTATGTCTTTAAATAAATTTTAACATGCAATATGTCCTCTTTTTGCTGCAATCACTTGTTTTATGTGATTTGGCATTGAGTTCATAAGACTTTGACAAATATTTCTCTAATTCTTCATGATGAAATCACACATCACAGTGAATACTAAACCTACCTTTGACGCATATTCCATTTTCCCACATCTAGCCTTTATTATAGCCTGTAGGTTATCAATGGGGTTTGAATCAGATGAGTTCCCAGGCAACTGAAACATGTTTCTCTCAATCTCTTGGACACATTTCTCTCTCTTTCATGGCATATGGTATTGTTAAAGGTTGTAGTGCAACATTCCGTCTCAACTTGGGAATTTTTGTCATTTTAGGATAGTTCTGCTTCTCAGTATATTGGTATATTTATCAGAGTTTATCATTGCCTCAGTCGGGGCAATCCTTCCCAGGTCCACTAAAAGTAAAAAGTCCCATGACATTTTTCCGGCAGATGTTTTACATGGTCTGATGGAGAGTCCTAGATTTTAGAGGATCACTTAAATTTCTTCCAACAGTTTTGGTATAGCTTTGAATGAAAAAGAGTTTCATCAATAAAAAATTACCTTTTTTCATTCTTCAGCCCTCTATTCTTTATATTGTCTTGTTCATGTCAAGCATTTTTGTTTCATAGGAATATTAGCCACTTTTTTTTTTCTACTGGTCTTCTCGTTGTTCTTTCAACTTTAATAAGCCTTCTCTGCACATAAAAGAATCAGGAACAACCACTTCAGCTGCCAGGTCCCTCTGAAGGTCTTTGCTTGTCTTCTGAGGATTAATTAGGCTCTTTTGCATTTATAGTCTGTTAGTTCTTGGCAGTATTTATCATTTTCAACTGCAGTTTTCTTTTGTGTTTTAGTTATATATAGCCTTGAATGATCTTAAAATGCTTGACTTCTCCACACCAACAGCCGCAGCAATTTCTCTAACAGTCATTGAAATGTGCTCTTTAAGAGCTCACACTTTTGTACCTTCGTTTAGAGTAATAACCATTCTTTAAAACTGTAGAACTAAAAGCACAACAAAAGAGGTGAATGAAACACATGTAAATGGCAGGTGATGCATCACTCAACCAGTAGAGAACTAACAAAAGGTGGGGAAATTAGTTTAATTTGGTTTCATCTTGTGATTTTGTTCTGAGACAAAAGACTAGTGTCATTGGATGCATGCATGCGTGCACATGCCTTTTGCTGTCCCAAAATGAAACCATATCTAAATTATTGCTTTTCCACATCACTATATTATCTCCCTAGTACGTGGAGAAATGGAGACACAAGGTACTTAGGAAATATTTCATATCAACTTCACTCAACAAGTCTGGTCATGGTCAGATGTTCTGAAGGAGACTGGTGTCAGGAGATACAGACACATGTGTGGCCATTGCTATCACAAGATGAAACTATATAAAAATCACTTGTCCCAAATAATTCTCACACCACTGTATACAACCTGCTATAAACTTCAAGTATTGAATTTAGTGACTAAAAAGTGATAGGGGCTATATGTTATAATAGTTGTAGACTGTAATGGTAAAAGGTTTTAGAAAAATCCTATCATATTACTATGTAGGTTAGTCACCTAATGGAAACAAAAGTCAGATTTTTTTTGGTGATTTCCATTTTCTGATGTTTAAGGTTTTTCTTTTGGTGATAGAGATTTGCAATAAATTGTTAAATTAATTATGATAGAAACAATATCAGATAGTTAAACTAATATTTTCTGTAGCATAGGTTTCTAAAATTGCAGCTCTGCCTTTTGAGTGTTTTATTTCCTGCCACCTTCTCTTTTGCGCATTCTCACAAACTTTCTTCTGTGAATCAGTCTTAAAAGTGGAATTTTTTTTTAATACTGATGTGAAAAAATACCTTGAACCTTCACATCTTCTCTTACCTACCTTCTCTTACTAACTTGGAGTGTGTTGCCCCCAAATACTGTAGTTAATGACATAATGCATGAAAGACAGGTTGCTAGTTTGAATTGTTTTTTTGTTATTCTTTGTCAGATTAATTATATTGATTCAAAGGTATATCGCAAATGGCAACAAATAAATTGGCTCTGTCTTGTGAAAGGTACAGTTGGTTTTGTCTGCTTTTATAAAATATTATTTGTATGCATTATACTAAAATGATATGCTGAATTCTGAAGCTGACATTTGTGTATTTTAACTTCTTTGAATTCTGTTAAACTTGAATTCAGCCCTGAGACTAGATACTTATAGGAATATCAAATAAATGATAAAATTCTATGAAAAATAAAGGGAAAGGAAAAGGTTTAATTTCCTGAGAAAGTATACATATTAGTCTGTCATTTTTTGCGTATTTCCATTGTTGGTGACAGTTAATAAAAATAAAGATTGTATTCCAAGCTGAGTGCTAATAATAAGGTGCTAATTTGGTACTTTTTACATGACAGGCACCCATGGGGACCTGCTGGGGTGATATCTCAGAAAATGTGAGGGTGGAAGTTCCCAATACAGACTGCAGCCTACCTACCAAAGTCTTCTGGATAGCTGGAATTGTGAAATTAGCAGGTGAAAAACCTTCATAGTAATTGACCAAAAAAAGCTAATGATACCTATAATTAGATTATTTTATAGGTGCTTATAAATTTTATGGTACATGGAGGTTTGGGAAGTTGTAATGAATAATGAAAACTGACTATATTAGAAAATTTGTGTAGCCGATTTGCTTAACGTAACTGATTTGGATTGTTAATGATAGAAGTGTCCATGTCAACATGTCCTGTCAATTCTTTCCTCCCAGTGTTTTTCAGATTTGTCCCATTCTTACCATTCCCACTAATGTCACCCTCCCGGTACTTCAGTACCATATTGTTGAGCAGGTACACAACTAGAAGCTCCCAGGATTAGTTGTAGCTGACAAGTTAGCCTGGGTCCCTGCCTTTCCAGGTCAGAATTTCCCATGGAGTCCTGGTGTGGAGATGTGGGAAGCAGAGCAACTCTCTGCCCTCGCTCTGGAACTCTGATCCCTTTACTATAAACAGTGAAGGAGCAGTAAGACCACACACACACACACACACACACACACACACACACAGACACACACACACACACACACACACACACGTCTGGAAGAAAAGGCAGATGACAGAGCAGTGTAGAAAACTCATTTCGGGGCAGCTAGGTGGCGCAGTGGATAGAGCACCAGCCCTGGATTCAGGAGGACCTGAGTTCACATCCGGCCTCAGGCACATAACACTTACTAGCTGTGTGACCCTGGGCAAGTCACTTAACTCCATTGCCTAACCAAAAAAAAAAAAAGAAAAGAAAAGAAAAAAAAGCTCATTTCCTTTGCCCCACCATAGGATGCGAATGTTAGGTATAAAATACAAATTTCAAATGTTAAAAACAACTTGTAAATAAAATATTAGAACAATAAGTCTGTCTTCCATTTAAATGTTTTAGTGTATTTTTTAAAGTTTTTACATTTACTAATGTGAATAATAACTCACATTTACACAGTGCTTTGGAGTTTATAAAGTACTTTCCTCACAGTGTGATACTTTCGTTGTGGGGTTTGGGTTTTTGTTGGATTTTTTTTTTAAACAATCATTACAAATTATGAGGAAAGACCTCCTCAATTAGTCTCTATACAGAGAGGACCTAAAAAGTTTTAATATACCACTACCCAAACCATATCATCAAACAGATGTTATAAAATAAAGATTATAATTTAGTATGGGAATAAGGTTTACCTGTAAAAAATAACAGGAACAGAAAATAATGTATGATTAAATAGTACATGATAAAATTCCCATACACAGACACTAAGGGTTAAAATAGCCCACAGGAAAGAGGGAGTTCTGGGTTGGTGTCATCACACCTAGTTTATTATGATATCCTCCTCTTTAGTCTCTTTTCCTTCCAATCCATTCTGCTTGACCAGTCTATCCTGCTATGATTAATCTTCCACATAAACTATGATTTTGCTGAATAAGCATTTGATAAAATTCATTCTCTACTCATAACTATTTAAAAAAATAGAAATACTTCCACAGTATTATTAAATGGTATATTGAAAATCAGTGTATTTACAATAAACACTAGAGGCATCCTTTTAAAATCGAGGGCAAAATAAGAATTCCCAGAAGACAGTTGTTGATACGGGACTAGAGTTTAGGACAGATGAAAGCTGAATGTTTAGATTTGGGAGTCTTCTACATAATGGTTATAGTTGAGTCCATAGGAAATGATGAGATCAACAAGATAGAACATAAAGAGATAAGAGAAGAGGGCCCTGGACAGAAATGTATACATATATGAAAGTCGAGACAAGGATGTTGATCCTCTAAGAGGAGACTGAGGAAAGGAAATCAAATATGTGGGGAAGAGAACCATCAATGAGAAGTGTTAAACAATCCAGGTTGGGGAGAATATCTAGAAAGAACAGGTGGTCAACAATGTCAGCTGCTGTAGAGAGGCTGAGAAGGAAAAGAACCAAGAAAAGACCCCTGAAATTGGCAATAGAGACATCATTGATGACCTTAGAGGAAATTACTGCAGTTCAGTTGTGGGGTTGAAAGCCACATTGAAAGAGATTGAGAAATGGGAGGTGAAAAGATGAGGACAGCAAGCTAAGTAGATTTTTCTAGGACTTTGAATTTGAAAGAGAGGGTGGCTATAAGATGATTGCTTGAGAGGCTTGTTTAAGTAAAAGGTTCTGTTTTTTTTTTTAAGGATGTCTGTCCCCATCATTCAAATGCTCTTCCTCTTCACTTCCACCTCTGAGAATCCCTGACTTCCTTCCAAGTCTCAGCTCAAACTCTACATACTGGAGGAGACCTTTCCCCATTCCCCCAGCTGTTAGTGCCTTTCGCTCTAGAGTTACCTTCCATCTACTCTATCTTGTATGTACCTGCTTATATATGTGTTGTCTTTCCTCCCCATCCTTGATAGAATGTAAGCTCTTTGAGGGTAGGAATTGTTTTTGCTTTTTCTTTGTGTCTCCAGTGCTTAGTACAATGCTTGGTACACAATAGGTACTTAATAAATAACTTATTGATTAATAGACTTTGGGCATTTTTGTAAGCAAGAGGAAAAAGGCAGTGGATTAGGAAAAATTGATATCCCCTTCTGCCTGATTTTCAGAAGGTCGGGCTCGTGGAGGAGACGAGATTATAAATTCAAGAGCAGGGGTAGAGGACTTAGCAGTAGCAAGGGGAAGAACCATCTTACCTGCCAAGGCTGTAACAGAAGAGAGAATAGTGGATGATGATTGGCTGGGGGAAGGAGGGGGGGACACTGAAAGGATTTGGAATCTGAGGACATTTAACTATCTGCCTAATCTCAGACAAATTATTTACTTTTTCTAGACCTCAATTAAAAAACAAAAGTATTAGAGTAAATGACCCTATGACTATTCATATTCAACATAGTGCAAAAAAAAATTAACAAGTGCAATTTTTGTCTTCACATGTGATTTAATTGGTGTAGAGAACTTGCAGGGAGGAAACACTTTCTACCGATGCAGATTCATACTTGCTCTACAGTTTATAGTCTTAGAGAAATTACTGGGGCATTAAGAGATTGGGTGAATTGCCCAGGTCACAAAGCCAGTGCATGTCAGTTAACTCTACATATAGTAGAAATGACGGTAATACAGTATACCAATGGATGTAGAATCTTATTCATGGGCGTATTTCCTTCTGCTACACAGATTACAGCTCATCCATGCCTTCCCATCCTGTATAACTCTTAACCATATCCTCCCATAAATTTAGCATAAGGGTCCACCCAACTTGCAAAGGCCTTCTTCATGTTTTCTTCAGAGTGGAGAACTTAGGAGTCCATCATTTCTACCTTGCTTTCAGTGTATAACCAGTCCTGTCATTTTTCCTAGTCATACATTTTCCTGACATCCTTTACACATTTCTGCCTAATTTATAGCCTTTTGCAGCCTGCTCACACCCATTCTCTGTTGTCCTTTGGATAACTCTTAATCTTAGTATTTCACTAGGCTAGTATTCCATGACTCCCATCCATACATCATCACTAGAAAAATACTGGTGTAAAAAGTGGGCCTTTGTGTGGGGAAGAAGCTCGTACGATTTCCTAAAGACAATCCATCCTGCTTTTTCTCTCTTCCTGTTCATCTCTGGGCCCTGCTCATTGTCCGTTTGCAGTGTCTGGCCCAAATATATGTTTACTGATGGATAAATGGATGGATGCATAGATTGATAAATTGTCCATTCAGTTGCAAATCAAGACTTTGACAGCCATCCACTTAATTTTTCCTATGTGGATAATATTGAATGAGCCAAACTCTTCTGGGTGATTGTGAATTTCCTCTAGGAGACTCTGCAGTGTTCTGGAACTTAATACAGTCAGTACAGTTTTATCTGCAAACCAGGACTATCTGGAGGACCTCTTCAACCTGAGTTCTATGCCACATCGTCCTCCAGGTGTTTGATAGTGGCAGGCACCTTTGGCAACTATACATCTTTGTTTTATTCCTTGCTGAATGTTATGGAAGGAGTCACAGAACAAAGTTATTTCTGTTGTATCTTGCAAAATATTTTGTAAAATTTTGAGATGTGCTTGGGAAACAACCTTGATGGAAAGAGCCTCTAAGATGGCATTTTCCTCTATCAAAGCAAGTGCTTTCATACAGCCATCCGACTAGAGTAATATCTACATAAAGTATGTAAAGTGTGATCTTGTGTTCTCTATATTGTCAGTTTTGTCATGGTAAAGATATTCAGCCTGCTGTGAAGAATCATTTGTTAATTCCTTGCTTATTCTCTTCTGATCCCATAATGAAGTCCCCTCAGTGCATGTGTACATGATTCTCATAAAATTTTTGTATAGGCAGTCAGTTGTGATTCATGTTCTCTTGATTTCCTTTTTTTTTTTAAAGTAATAGTATCTGAGGTTTTTTCCCCACATCCTTGTTATTCTCTTTCACATATGTTGGGAATGAATCCCTCAGTACCCTCAAAATTTTGTCTTCTCAAGCATGAACCTTTTCTCTGTGTGTATCTGATCTAGTCCAGATCTTTGTATTTGAGTCTTTGTTTTCTTCAGTACCATTTTCATTTTCTCTAGTAATATATCCAAAACTGTATTGTTAGACTTTAAATGTAGTTAGTCTATGCCTGATGGTGAAGGGTCTGTTACAAAGATTTCTAACTTTTTCATTTTTATAGCTCTTTTTTATTTTTTCATGTGTTACCTTCTAGTTTCATCCTTAAATGCCTTTGTGATGATATAATGAGTCTCTCACCAAACTTTCTTTAAACTTATGTTTCTTTCCATTATCCCTCACTATATTATGAGAAATACTGCTCATAATTTTCCACCATCCTCCATTAGATTTTACAAATGACTTGTCTATACTTGTGTCTTGGCAAGTAGATCACTGGCTGAGGCACTTTCTAGATTCTTTATCTTGTCATAGCATTTGATTTAAATCAGTTAAACTTCTAACATGATTATTATAATTGGTGTCGTCCTTTCCTCTGTCCATTTCCTATTTTTAATCGATTCAGAATTCAGTTTAAATAGGTCAGATT